GTGTCTAAAGCCAGGAGGACTTCGTGCTGGCGGTGGGCCAGGCGGAATGAGAGACGCGGGCCCTACGTGTGCGGGTCTCCTCCTCTGCAGGTGAATGAGCAAATGAAGCTGACGGTGCTGGGCCAGGACTCCATCGTGGTCACCTTCACCTCCCTGAATGAGACGGTCACGCTCACCGTGTCGGCCAACAACTGTCCCCACGGCCCGGGGCATGATAAACGGGTAAGGCGAGGCAGCCCGGCCGCTCGGCCCCGCCTGCAGGGCACCCCATGCTGGTTAGACTCCCCAGCTCAGGGCCTGTGCTCCCACACCCACCACCCACCACGCGAAGCCCTCTGCCTGCCTCTGCCGCATGGGCTCCTGCTTGTCACGACTGCCCGACCGCAGCGCTGCCTTCTCTGGTGACAGCGAGGAGCCTTTCGCTGTGACAGAATTCAGTTTAGATGGCTGAAGCGTGAAACGAGGACGTCCAGCTCTGGGCACTGAGATGCCTTTCCATGTACGCCGTTGGCATGGGCGGATCCAGGCCTTCAAAGGATCCCATCAGATCCCGGCTCTGCGTTCCTCTTACTTACTTATTTTGCGTACACCCACCGGAGAGAGGGGGGGAGAGAGGGGAAATGAGAAAGTACCCCCAGGGGTAAATGGCCACACTTCTCCTCTTGGGATTTTAGCTATGCATGCCCACCACCCTGTATGTTTTCCTTTTTTCTTTCTTTTTTAAAAATTATTTATTTTATTTTTATTTATTCATTCAATTACTTTAAGAGACAGAGAGAGAGAGAGGGAAAGTGAGAAAGCAAGCCACCAGGTCCGGTATTCGAACCGCTGTCGGCCATGTGAGTGTGTCCAGCGCTTTAACCACCATGCCACCTGCTGGTCCCTCTCTCTTTTGTTTTTCACGAAGGTGTTTTTTGTTTGTTTGTTTGTCTACCAGAGAGCATGTGTTCTTGCCAGAAAGAAACAGAGAGAGACAGTAAGAAGGAAATTGAGAAATCACCACCCCAGGGGAATGACAATGCCACAGTCCCTTCTCTGGTTTCCTCCTGGGATCTGGGGCACACACACTCACACACACACACGCACACACACACACACACGCACTTGGTGTGAAAGTCTATTCTTTTTAAAAGAATTATTTTATTTACTTGTTTATTTCTTTTAATTTTACCGGAGAGGGACAGAGAGAGAAAGAGAGAGAGAGAGGGAAAGTGAGAAAGCAAGCTGCTAGGTCCGGGACTCAAACCGGGGTCGGCCATGTGGGAGTCCAGCGCCGTTAACCACTATACCACCTGCTGGCCCCATTGTGTGTGTTTTTTAGTCCTTCGAGTCTGGGACTTGAACTGTGCAGTCGGCCATGTGGGATCCAGCACCTTAACCTCCATACCGCTGGCTGGCCCTGCTTTCCCCCTTGCTGGCTTTCTTCTCGGGGATGTTCTCGGCTTAGTGACAAGATGCATGAGCGTCTCTAGGCTCTTATCTACCAGCATGAGTGCTCGCAGGAGGAGGAGTTTTCTCTCTCCTAAACACCCGACGTACCTGTCCCTCGAGTCCCTGTGGCCAGGAGCGTGTGCTGCATTCACTGGCCAGGCCGGAGTCTCATGTCCATCCTGAGGGTCAATGGGCAAAGGGCGAGGCAGATGCTTGCTTGCTTTATTTCTTTTAGGAATTATTTATTTATTATCATTATTTTTCTTTCTTTCTTTTTGGAGAGGTTTTTGCTACAAGGTGCGTGCGCTCGCCAGAAAGACAGAGACAGAGAGACGGAAAGCGAGAAATCACCCCCCGGAGGGGATGGCCACGCCACGCCATAATCCCTTCTCCTCTATTCTCCTCTCAGGATCTTGGGCACGCACACATATGTGCCCGGCGTGAGTTTAAGCCACTGGGTCCAGGACTTGAACCATGGTCAACTACATGGGAGTCCAGCGACATAGCCATTACGCTAACTGTTGGTCCCTCATTATTTTCGATTTTGATCAGAGAGAGAGAAAGAGAGAGCAGGCCACCAGGCCCGGGACTCAAACCACGGTCAGCCATGTAGGAGTCCAGCACCCTTAACCACCACGCCATCTGGCAGATGTTATTTTTAATGCACTATCAGGGTGCTGTTGCCAGAAGGAGGACAGTGGGGAGAACATTTCCAATGCGCGCTGGCGGCCCTCCTCACCCCTGCCCATCCCAGGTCTGGTCTCTCTCCCCTCCTTCGGCCCTGCCAGCCTCCCAGCCTGATCATCTACACGTCTATCACTGCCCGACCGCAGCGCTGCCTTCTCTGGTGACAGCGAGGAGCCTTTCGCTGTGACAGAATTCAGTTTAGATGGCTGAAGCGTGAAACGAGGACGTCCAGCTCTGGGCACTGAGATGCCTTTCCATGTACGCCGTTGGCATGGGCGGATCCAGGCCTTCAAAGGATCCCATCAGATCCCGGCTCTGCGTTCCTCTTACTTACTTATTTTGCGTACACCCACCGGAGAGAGGGGGGGAGAGAGGGGAAATGAGAAAGTACCCCCAGGGGTAAATGGCCACACTTCTCCTCTTGGGATTTTAGCTATGCATGCCCACCACCCTGTATGTTTTCCTTTTTTCTTTCTTTTTTAAAAATTATTTATTTTATTTTTATTTATTCATTCAATTACTTTAATTTGACCAGAGAGAGACACACACACACAGAGGGAAAGTGAGAAAGCAAGCCACCAGGTCCGGTATTCGAACCGCTGTCGGCCATGTGAGTGTGTCCAGCGCTTTAACCACCATGCCACCTGCTGGTCCCTCTCTCTTTTGTTTTTCACGAAGGTGTTTTTTGTTTGTTTGTTTGTCTACCAGAGAGCATGTGTTCTTGCCAGAAAGAAACAGAGAGAGACAGTAAGAAGGAAATTGAGAAATCACCACCCCAGGGGAATGACAATGCCACAGTCCCTTCTCTGGTTTCCTCCTGGGATCTGGGGCACACACACTCACACACACACACGCACACACACACACACACGCACTTGGTGTGGTTTTCTATTCTTTTTAAAAGAATTATTTTATTTACTTGTTTATTTCTTTTAATTTTACCGGAGAGGGACAGAGAGAGAAAGAGAGAGAGAGAGGGAAAGTGAGAAAGCAAGCTGCTAGGTCCGGGACTCAAACCGGGGTCGGCCATGTGGGAGTCCAGCGCCGTTAACCACTACACCACCTGCTGGCCCCATTGTGTGTGTTTTTTAGTCCTTCGAGTCTGGGACTTGAACTGTGCAGTCGGCCATGTGGGATCCAGCACCTTAACCTCCATACCGCTGGCTGGCCCTGCTTTCCCCCTTGCTGGCTTTCTTCTCGGGGATGTTCTCGGCTTAGTGACAAGATGCATGAGCGTCTCTAGGCTCTTATCTACCAGCATGAGTGCTCGCAGGAGGAGGAGTTTTCTCTCTCCTAAACACCCGACGTACCTGTCCCTCGAGTCCCTGTGGCCAGGAGCGTGTGCTGCATTCACTGGCCAGGCCGGAGTCTCATGTCCATCCTGAGGGTCAATGGGCAAAGGGCGAGGCAGATGCTTGCTTGCTTTATTTCTTTTAGGAATTATTTATTTATTATCATTATTTTTCTTTCTTTCTTTTTGGAGAGGTTTTTGCTACAAGGTGCGTGCGCTCGCCAGAAAGACAGAGACAGAGAGACGGAAAGCGAGAAATCACCCCCCGGAGGGGATGGCCACGCCACGCCATAATCCCTTCTCCTCTATTCTCCTCTCAGGATCTTGGGCACGCACACATATGTGCCCGGCGTGAGTTTAAGCCACTGGGTCCAGGACTTGAACCATGGTCAACTACATGGGAGTCCAGCGACATAGCCATTACGCTAACTGTTGGTCCCTCATTATTTTCGATTTTGATCAGAGAGAGAGAAAGAGAGAGCAGGCCACCAGGCCCAGGACTCAAACCACGGTCAGCCATGTAGGAGTCCAGCACCCTTAACCACCACGCCATCTGGCAGATGTTATTTTTAATGCACTATCAGGGTGCTGTTGCCAGAAGGAGGACAGTGGGGAGAACATTTCCAATGCGCGCTGGCGGCCCTCCTCACCCCTGCCCATCCCAGGTCTGGTCTCTCTCCCCTCCTTCGGCCCTGCCAGCCTCCCAGCCTGATCATCTACAAGTCTATCCCCACTGAGTCGGGGGTTCCCCATGACCTGTACTATCGCCTGCTGTCCCAGGGCCCAGCACAGACCTGCTCCGAAAGAAGCACCTGACCAGAGACTGGCCAGGCGGGTGAGGGGCAGTGGGGCCCGGGACTCCAGCTCTCTCACTCGCTGGGTCTTCATGGCGTCTTCCATGTGCTTGGCCTCAAGTCAGCCTCGTGCAGAGAGATGGAGAGGGTGAAGGGGGTACAGTCCCTGAACCCCGGCGAGTCCGGAAGAGAACACCTGACATGCGACACCAGTCTGGGGTAGCGGGGGGCGGACAGGCGGAACAGGCCCCCGTGTTCTCTGCGGACACGCTGCTGGGCCCGCTCGCCGTGGGAAGGCGCCTCTGAGCAGGGGCAGCCCGGCTCGCTGTGTGCCAGGCCAGGCCCCGCTGCCCTGTCCCCGGATGAGTGGTTAATAGCACCCTGTCGCCCTCTCAGTGTGGCCCAGTTCTGATGGTAACTTGTGATTATCCTGGGCAAGAGGCCCCCAGTCCCTGGGTGCATTTCCTCCACTCTCCTCCTGGGATCTTGGGCAGGCGCAGGCTCCTGGCTCAGAGCTGCCGGGCCCACGCAGGCCACCCAGCGCTGTCCTGGCCTTCCAGAGGCGGGCGTCTGTTAGGGATCGTGTTTCTGAACAGCACACAGGAAATGCCCGTGTTTCTCCTAGAGGAAAGCATTGCACCTGTCCTTCCCGTTGCCTTAGGGCACGTACGCTTGCAGGAGAGATAGAGAGACACAGTGAGAGGGAAAGTGAGAAATCACCCCCTGGGGGATGGCCACCCCGAAGTCCCTTTTCCTCTCTTTTTCTCCTGGGATCTTGGGGATGTACACACACGTGCCCAGAGTGATTCTGAAGCCACTGGGCCCAAAACTCGAACCGTGGTCAGCCAGGTGGGAGTCCAGCTACATAACTGCTACGCCATCTGCTGGTCCCTCCATTGCATTTTCATTCTAGCAGTTTTTCACCTTCATTATTTCATTAACTCATTCAGTACATATTTATTATTACCTGCAGTATGCAGACTTGGCTGCTAGGATAGGAATGACAAAATCTTTTTTTTTTTTTTTTTTTGGAGAGGTTTTTGTTATAGGGTGCATGCGCTCGCCAGAAAGACGAGACAGACAGAAACGAGAAATCACCCCCCGGGGGGATGGCCGCACTGCAATCCCTTCTCCTCCATTCTCCTCTCGGGATCTCGGGCATGCACGCACATGCACCCAGTGTGAGTTTAAGCCACTGGGTCCGGGACTCGAACCGTGGTCAACTACATGGGAGTTCAGCGACATAGTGATTACGCCAACTGCTAGTCCTGAAGAAATCTTATGTTCTTGAATCTCCAAAACACTTTCCACCTACTAGGATGAGCTGGATCAGCGGGCTGTGCCGGGCAGGGGCATGCAGCTGCTGCTGAGGTCCAAGGAGAGGCAATGCTCCATGACAGGATGCAGAGCGTTCCTCGGGAAACAGGCCTGTGGGTTCCAGCTGCCCTGGTTTCTTGGAAAGTAAAATAACTACAGGGTTTTGGGTCTGGCAGGGCTGAGATGAATGGTCTTGCTTATTTTCACATCCATCCTGTCAATTTGGTTCCATACACTTAACTTCAAACGTAATCGTTGGGCCAGCAGGTTGTATGGAGGTTAACGGGCTGGATCCCATGTGGTCAGCCATTTGGTTCGAGTCCCGGACCCAGAGGCTTGAAACTCATGCTGGCTATGTGTGTGTGTGTGTGCCCATAATCCCAAGAGGAGACTGGAGGAGAAGGGATTGCAGTGTGGCCAACCCCCCTGGGGGGTGATTTCTCACTTTCTGTCTCTGTCTTTCTGGTGAGCACACGCACCCTATAGCAAAATCCTCTCCAAAAAATAAAAATAATAATAACAAATAAAATAAAATAAATAAATAAATTGGGGGAGAAAGGGAGAAAAACTACATATATAGAGGTCAGCAAGGTGGTGTGGTGGTTAAGAAACCGGACGCCCACATGGCCAGCCACGGTTTGAGTCCCAGACCTAGTAGCTTGAAAATCACACCAGGCACACTCGTATGCATGCCCAAAGTCCCAAGAGAATGGAGGGGAAGGGATTGTAGCATGGCCATCCCTCCAGGGAAGTCATTTCTCACTTCCCCTCTCCCTGACTCTCTCTGTATCCCTTTAGCAGGTGCATGCACACCCCCATGGCAAAAACCTAAAAAAACAATGACAGCAAAACACTGCACATGTAGCTCTATGGTTTGTCACTGCCACAGTCACTCAAAGTCACGACCGTTGCAGGGCTACTGACCACAGGGGACAGCAGATCAGTACCTTAAAGCGGCTTCTGGAAACAGAGCCATGTAGGGATAGTGGGAGCTGGGACCAGCAGTTGGCGTAACGCCTATGTTGCTGGACTTCCACGTAGTCGACCATGGTTCAAGTCCTGGACATGGTGGCTTAAAACTCACGCCGGGTGCATGTGCGTGCGTGCCCAGGATCCCGAGAGAAGGATGGAGGAGAAGGGATTGCGGCGTGGCCGTCCCCGCTGGGGGGGGATTTCTCGCTTTCTGTCTCTCTGTCTCTCTCTGTCGGGCAAGGCCACGTGCCCTATAGCCAAAACCTCTCCAAAAAAAAAAAAAAAAAAAAAAGAAAAGCGAAACCAAAAAACTAACAAGTGTAAAACAGCATCCCTGCCTTTGGGGAAAAGAAGCACACCAGGGGCCGACATTGTTGTTCTTCATAAAACCTGTCCATGGGACCAGCAGGTGGTATAATGGTTACACTCGTAGACTCCCATATGGCCGAACGTGGTTCAAGTCCTGGGCCCAGAAGCTTGAAACATGCCAGGCATGTGTGCGTGCATGCCCAAAATCCTGAGAGGAGAATGGAGAAGGGATTGCAGTGTGGCCAT